TTTTGACGGTTTTTTTGAGTTTTTCAAAAAACGCCTACGAGTTGAACATGCCCATCGCCAAGGTAGCTTACTGACGTCATTTGGCAACAGAAAAAACAAGACTTACCCTTTAGGTTTTTTTTTCACCACTCAACCTACAGATTGACTGTACTAAAATCAAGATATTTTCCAAGTAACATAATCAAATTAAATAAGTGTGTACGTAAGAAATTAATAAAAATCGTTTGAAGCGTTACACTTAGAAGATATAGAGAACAAAGGCAATTGTTAAAAATGCTGTCGCTAAGGTGTTTTTAGTTTTATCATTTGCTGACTTTATGAGAATGAGAGCAAATAAATTTTTATTTACTTAATATTAAACACAGGTAAATAAAAGTCGTTATCAGTTATAAGGTTCATGAATCGACGACATTGAAATTCATTTCAGGTCTCCAGCGTCATAAATAGATTTTAAATAAAAAGTTGTCTTATTTAAAAAAAAAGTAATAAGACAACTCTCTTTTTAAAAAAATCTATTTATGACGGTTCATAAACCTTATCAGTTATAAGGTTCATGAATCGACGTCATTAAAAAAATCATTTCTCAAATTTCAAGGTCTCCAGCGTCATAAAAATAGATTAAAAAAAAGTTTCATTCGCCCGAATTGCCAGGTGTCCGGCTTTAGCCGGACATGTTTGGCTATTTGCGGGCGCGTCCGGCCAAATATGTACGTGTTTGGCCTGTCCGGCTTTTGTCAGGCTTTTTGTCAGAGTGGCGATTCTTACGACGATGTTCGGACGAGCGTCCGAGCGAACAAGAGAGCAAACTGTTGGCGCGCACGGTGTCACGTATAAATACTTTTTTCAACAGCCCAGCTGTAAAAACATTATGTTTGGCAATAAAAAAAATATGTCCGGCTTTTAGGGCAAAATGTCAGGCCTTTGCATTTTATGGCCTGGCAACCCTAGTCCCGTCTGCAGTCTGGTCCGCGTAGCATTTTTTCTAGTTATATTTTCTTTAGATTTAAACATCAAGCAGTTACATGCTTTAAAAATATATATATATATATATATAACTATAATTGCTATTTCTTCTTTCAAATGTTTAATACTTGTAAAAGTATTCATTTGACATTGTGGATTACCTATAATGCGAAGAGATGGCGCTGCCTTGCAGCTTAAGAATGGCTAGAGGAATTTCGACACGGTCAGCGAGGGCCGCGGTAGCATAATTGGTCAGTGCATTCGCCCGGATTGCGAAGGGTGCGGGTTCGAGTCCCGACTGCAGCCTGGTCCGCGTGGATTTTTTTCTAGTTATATTTTCTTTAAAAAAGTTTTTATTTTTTTTATTGTAAAAAATTGCAAAGTGCACAATGTTGATGCTTCCTCTCCCTATTATTGTGAAATTCTTTAAGACCACGCGTCGATCACTGTTCTGGGATTTTTTGATCACCGATTGGGCACAAAACCTTATATTATCTATAGAAAACCTTATATTACCTTCCTTATTTTTTAATATTTTGTATAGCAGGTATTGACTGTGTTGCTAAACAAAACAATAGTGGACAAAATTTAGTTTTTTTTTTCAATGAAATAATGGTAAGTACCTATGATTTAAAGTTTTTGAAAATTAAAATAAAAAAGGGTACGTTGTTTGAATGAATTTATTAATAATGCTATTATGTTACTGCAAATCCACTTCTAAATGCGTGTCAATTGTTTCTGTTCTCACAATGGAAAAAATAAATCCATACAATATTATTTCATTATCCATAGGATTATAAAAAAATCATTTTCAAATAACCACTTACCTCTTATCTAATTGACAGTGTGGTTGTTAATTTCCGTGTTATCAAAATTGGGATTAAAAATCGTAATTAATGTTCTAAATACCTTAACACTTAAGAATTGATTATCGTATTGTAATTATCTAACAAAGAATTCTCTAAATTTATTTTAATATGATTAATATGATTATAAATTTTTAATATGATTATAAATCACAGCTGTTTGAAAAGAGCTATTTAGTTTGTATTCTGATCACAGAGGCCAAAACAGCATTTTAATCCCTAGGGGCTAAAAGTGATTTGAAATAGGAATGTGGATTCTGTTAGAATTTTTAATTTAGTATTTTTCCGTACTGTGAAAGACAAATGCAAAGCCATGCAGCCATTGTCCATTTTTTACTAGTAGCCCGCCTTCGCTTTGCTTCGGTGTAGAGCTGTTGTGAAGACTATAAATTTTGTTCTCAGGCTTGTATTATACACAATGACTTTCATTATATAATAGGGTATTTGACAAGTTTTAGAAAACGATCTCACGTTATTGACTAATGTTTATGAAGTCCGTAAAAAGTGAATATTCATCATTCTGTTGTGTATTTAAGTAAAAATAATCAAATCAAAAATTCCATTTTCAAGTTGCCGCGAAAACGTTTTTCTGCACAATATAGCATCTTAGTAGTGTGTGATGTCACACGACTATTATTAAAACCTCAAACGATACAATGTAATGTCACTTTAACCGGAAGTTTACTTGCGTGTGACGTCATTTTAGGCTCCGCCAATCCCAAGCGTTTTGGGTCACGTGGCAATAGATAAGAAAACTATTATCTTTTTGATGGGTTTTTAGTAAAATTATGAATATATTTTTTGGAAAAATAGTAAAATCCCCTGCAGATATTCATTCTAAACACAGATGCTAACAATTAGCACTTTATTTTTAATACTGTCAAATACCCTATTATAAACCTCCCATGACAATTTATTAAACTGATAGTGAAATATTTGTTGCGTAGTTTCTAAACTTTCGAGTTAGAACTCATTGTATCGAATGCACCATTCTTCTGCAGATTTGATAGATTATTTTTGTGTTGGATAGTGGCATTTATCGAGGAAGACTAAAGGCTATCTAAATAACGTCACGCTGCGATCAGTAGGAGCGGAGCATCGATGAAAAACGTTGCAAAAACGGGTAAAAATATTCCATACTAGCGGGCGCCCGCGACTTCGTACGCGTGGAGTTAGTTAGAAATAAAGGTTCACTGCTCATTCCCCATTGGTGATAGCCTGATAATATGTAGCCTATATGTTGACCCGACTTCTTAATAATATTCGTACCAAATTTGAAGTAAATCCATGCAGTACTTTTTGAGTTTATCCCGGACATACATACAGACAAACAGACAAAAATTCTAAAAATTATAATTTTGGCTTCGGTATCGATTGTAGATCACACCCCAAGTATTTTTTAAAAAAATATTCAATGTACAGTTTTGATTTTCCTACCATTTTATTATATGTTTAGATGTGAGATTTCGTTGCGTGCACTGTACACAACAATCATGTATGACGGAAATGTCCCACTTTAAAAGTGTGTCTGCTGACTGGTCCGCGTGGAATTTTATCTAGCTTAATTTTCTGTAGATTTATGCATCTAGCAGTTAAATGCCTCATCATAGTTTGCCTATTTATGTCCCACTAATGGGGTACAGGCCTAACCCTAAGTTCGCGATTAGTGCGAATGGGTGCTAACGACTGCATCATTATGCAGCTGGAACCAACGGTTCAACAAGCCTTCGGAAGCACGGATGAGCTAAATATATTAAGTACTTATATGGTTACCCATCCGATGACCAGCCATTGCGAAAATTGCTTAAAATCCGCCATCGTAGACTCATATAATGCATACAAATCATATATAAGTAAAGTTGTTTAGTACAGTAAGTTGCAAGTTTTAGCTCTTATTTGGTATAGGCTATTTCAATATGGTCTAATTGCAGCAATTCAAAGTCTCGATTTATCTAAAACTAGATTTATCTAATACAAAAAATATAAATTGACATTATGAAATTCTTATATGAGCTAAATCTAGTTTCTGTTAAATTGAGATTAGCAAAAACTGATCCTTAGCTTTAGCTCCACTTGCTGGATTTTAACTACAACTCGCTATGTACCATGGAAAAATGACAAAACGTTAATGCCAATTTGACATCTTAATATGAACTAAATCTAGTTTTAGTTAAATTGACATATACCTATCAAATTTGCTGCAAGCCGCAGCAGTTTTGCTAAATCACAATTTCTATCAAAAAATCGATTAAGCCCATACTATTCAATATATATATAATGTTCAATTGATATATGTATTTTGTCATTTTACTATGGGTAAAATCTAGTTTTAGTTGAATCGAGATTTATCGAATTTTCTGCAAGTGAAATCTAAAAAAAATCAAAAAAAGTAGCTTTAATTCATACAAACAAAAAAGACAAAAAAGTTAATAGATTAAAAACAAACTTTCTTGCAAGTATAGGTTAAATCTTGTTTTAGTGAAATAGAGCTTTAGCACAATTGTTACTAAAGCTATTCTAGAAGGATGTAATCCAGCGTACCAACCAAGGTGACCTTAGTGGGAAGTTGGTTTCCATCCGCGTTATGATTTTCGGCTGCACGGATGTAATCCACGCGCCAACACGCAATCGTAAGCCGTCTTCTGGCGTGAAAACACGTATACACTTGTATCATGCGCGGACTGTATTAGAAACCATGTTGTAGAAATGGCTCCAAATTTGCCTAAATTTCAAAATGTGGGCTTTACCTACGCTTTGTGTGCAATAGACGACGAAAAACAACAAAAAAGAGAATGTGGATGAAGCGTTGGTTACAACAGCGAATGATTCTCAGCCATTCAAACTTATTGGAGTTATTGGACTTTAATGATATTCATAGTTATGAATATCATTAAAAGTAGGAAGTTTCCTAAGAATACGTGTACGAATACGTGCGCATCCGCCGACTGCCACAGCGCAACTGTCTTTGGTTGAATGTAAGTCGCCGACGAAACGGTTGTAATCCACGCTATCCAAACGTGGATGTAAACACGCGCCCGTAATCCAAGGACGTTGAAGGTCAAATCAAAATTTGGATTACATCCTTCGCCTAGATGGATGGCAACGGGCAAGGTGACCTTGGTTGGTACGCTCGATTACATCCGTCTAGAATAGGCTTAAGGCAATAATTACCTAGTAATGGGTCCAGTCGATCCCTGAAGCTCTTGGCTCGTGGTGTCGTGCCAGACCCTCGTCTTGGCAGAGGCGACTCCCATTCGCACGGCCCTTCCTGTCAAACAAAACACAGTTCTATTAAGGCGTGTCTGCTGCGCAATGTTTTGCACAAACATCACTGCCGGATTTAGGGGAGGGCTACCGGGGCGAAAGCCCCGGGGCCTCCACAAACGGGGGGCCCCCACAATAGAGACTTCGGAAAAAAAAATCACTCGATTTCAACGAAATCATCAACGATTTTTCGGCGAAAAAAGCTCGAAAGGTTCCGTTCGTTAACTCTAAGATTTAATTTCAGATAATTCTTGTTTCCATTTATATTTATATGTGTTTGTTCAATACTAAGGGAATCTACTTGGTTCACAATAAATTACTTATTGAAAAACTCGAATGAAAAAAAAATGTTTACTTTATTTGGAAAATAATTTGGGGTGAGGGGGCCTCCGCTCCTCTGTTGACCCGAGGCCTCTGGACCTCTAAATCCGGCCCTGACAAACATTGTTCTTGAACATAGATTGTTTAAAAGCATTTTCCGTCCGCTGCGACATTATCGATGTTCAAACATAGTTTTTTGACAAAATTTCACATTTAAAAAAAAATAGCAGCGACGAGGAAGACGTGAACATAGGCTGTAGTGGATTTAGTTCTCTTTTTTTCTCTCGATTGAATTGTGATCTGAACCTCAACCATTTTGTGCTCACAGAGTTCACAGAAGTGCCTATAACCTCCGCCACTTTCGCGAAGGCATCTGATTTTTTTGTTTTATTTTTATTTTCAGCTGAAGTTGCATCCCAAAATACGGTTTTTCCACATATCAACATGATTACTTCCAATGTTGTCTCTGGATTCCACTCCACAATGCACTCCATCATGATAGTCGTCACATCAAAATACGTCTTCCTACGCCAAAATCAAGCATAAAATGAACGATTGCCCTCGGCGAGACGAACGCGGGCAATGTTTTCTACAAACTCCGGCAAACACGTTCAAGTGTATTTGCTCGACAAAACATTTAGGCCACATCCCTTATTTATGTTTTCAAACAATGTTCTGTTCAAAACATGGTGCAGCGACGCGCCTTTATAAGATGCGCCAGGAAAAATGAGACTATCTCAAGGAACTTTTTAAGTTTCAAAATTCCCTATCGCTTTCCCTTAGGTCATCAGAAAATCTGACCCTTACAATGCCTGTTCACCGCACCAGCTATTATGACCATTCTTTTGCTGTACAAGCTGTTCGGCTTTGGAACTCGTTGCCTACTAATATCAGACGCGCTCAGTCTTTGAATATATTCAAAGACCAGCTCAAAAATTTCTATCTTTCGCAGTGAATCTGATTTTACTGTGTAAACTTTTTATCGTATATATGTTATGTTTATGTATGTATGTGTATGTATATATGTGTAAGTATGTTTATATGTTATTAAATGCATATGTATATATATGTGTATGTATGGATGTGACTATTTATTCCAAGCCATTTAACACCCCTATGGTCTCTGTATAACTTTTCATACTCAGTGGTTGTCTGGAAGAAATCGCTCTTAGCGATAAGACCGCCAATTATAATGCTTTTGTTAATATTATTGTTTGTGAATGTTACGTAATTATGTATTTGGTGTTATAATAAAGTGTTAATCTATCTATGTATCTATCTTGACTTGACTTGACCATGCCGCGTCTCCCACGCTCTTCCCACCACCCCGATGGCGCCCGGACCCTCCCCCCTCAGACCTCATACCGCTAAAGAGACCTTTAAGTCGTATACTGCGCATGTCAAACCACGAGGCGCGTCAAGTGTCATTTTTCGTGGCGCGTAATTGTATAATGTGTTAGAGTTTGTATTTAAGCTTATCTATAAATCGAACAGCGATATAGACTACAAGTATGATCTTTATTCAAATTAAGGTTTAATCTTGTTTAGTACATGATTACATCTTTGTCAATTGTTTCCAGACAAATAGAGATGGCATTTTGAGGAGCGCGATGGCGCTAGTGGTTAGCGCGTTCGTCTGCGATCGTTGAAGTTAAGTAACTATCGCAGTGGTCGGTCATTGGATGGGTGACCAAAAATTTACTATCTCGAGCTCCTCCGTGCTTCGGAAGGTACGTTAAGCTGGTGGTCCCGGCTGTACCAGCAGTCGTTAGCACTCACCAATCCCCACTGGGTCCTCTTGGTGGGTCATGGCCCAATCTCCTTATCCCATCTATAGAGATGGCCTGTGCCCTTGTGTAAATAAATAAATAAATGAGACATGGCACAAGGCCTAAACGTGTTAAGATTTGAACGTGTTAAATGATGATTTCTGGGATAAAAACTATCCTTTTTCCTTTCCCAGGACTCAAACTATCTACATATATACCACTACCACCACTAAATCGGTTTTGCAGTTTTAGCATGAAGCGGTAAAAGACAGACAGACACACTTTCAAATAAAAATAATTAGTTTGGATATAGATAAAGATAATTATACATACTGAATCATATTGCTGCTGCCCGTTGTGGGGTGGTATCAAGCCATCCCACTGAGAACTGTCCCACGGTTCTGAGAATACTGTGCCGTCATCGCTGGCCTGGAAAAAAGTGTTAAGAATTTATTAGAAACATTTAACAAATTATTTCGAAGCAAGTGTCGAGATTTTTTGAGAAATAAATTCATTAAAAATCAAAGTATAGACATTGTATGTACTATGGAAAAAATAGATTCCTGACCCTCTTAAAAATGTGATTATAGCCAAATTTTCTTCTATATGAAATGCGTAATTGCACTAAGGACCCTCTAATAACAAGGAAACTGCAATAATATGGACCAAACATCTTTTATCTTTATCATCTGTCTTTGTTGGTTGTCGAAGAAACGACTATTTTTAAAGGTTTCTTAGATACCTTGTGAGTTCTGTACTCACAAGGTATCTACGAAACCTTCAAAAACTACATTGCCTAGCTCGGGTTGTAGAATGAGAGTACGTAGACCCTTCAAATCATATATAAGGAATTCAACAAAAACAACAAGGTTCCTCAAGAACGATATAGTGTTAATATAAATATAGTAAAAAGCGACAAGAGTCCGCTGCATAGCGTGGTATGTGCAGTTATTGGTGACATAAAGTGTGACAAAAGAAAACCTTAGGATTCAGCTGCGGTCATGAGCTATAATTTTAGCTGTTATCGAACTACTGCCTTAACCTGATTCAATTATGCTAACACTATAGACATCGAAGCTTTAAGGAAAGTTACATTCTTCACAAAGTGCATTAGTTGGGAAGACAAGTTTAATAAATAGAGAGGATGATTGAATTTCCTTCTTCGCTATCAGGTAGATTACCAAAAAGTATTGGACACGTATTTTTTTCTTTTTCACATAATCAAAACATTACAGAGATATGATAATTTGAAATGACGTCACAAGTCCCTACTCGCAAACTAAGACGCGTTTTATGTTTGTAATATTTAGATTGATTGACAAGCATCAAAAAAAATTATGTGCCCATTATATTTTTGATAATCTAACTAGCTGACTAAACAGAATTTTATCCCTTCCTATTCCCTATGCATAATCCCAGATAAGCATTAATTAGTCACCTGTTCTGACAAAGGTCGCAGATCGTGTACGTTGTCGTAGCAAGAAGCTCTCGGTGGTGATCGCACCTCCTCTGGCAGCGCCACTGGCTCAGAATTCAGTCTTAGTTCTGGTAACCTAACGCATACAGAAACAAGATCTCGTATCAACTTCCATATCAAACGTACAGTCAGTATGGCTGTATGTAATAGGCACAGAGTACCCCAGTAGGGACGGTAGACAAGGACAGCCGCTTCTGGCAAGATTTTGTAGTAAGTAATACTGTATAAGCGTGTGATAAGGAATTAAGATTACCGCTAACTTTCTCATTATTAGAAATAAACAACTGTTACGAAATAAATAACTTATGCGACATGGAAAAAGTGATGTCCACTGCCTGTGGAAAACGTTTTGTCCGCTGCGCCGTTAACGTTGTACTAAAACCCACAGGCGTTTGCGAATGACATAAGCTGACTCAATCAATGAGTTGCTGATATTTTATAAATGTGGATCATATATCATATGTTTATAAAATTATGAAAAACCTTTAAGCAAACGTTGCGAAACAAGATCGCACTTAATTTATCATCAGACTATGAAACCAAAACGCATTCCCTTCCGACGACAACGACGAATGTTTGTCGATATTATTATTCTATGGCAATAGGTCTTTTGTGAAAAATGGTGAATTTTGAACATTAAACTTTGAAATCTGTGAAGAAATTGAGATAATAAAGTACAATATTATAGCAATGAACAAACCTTTGAGCAACGACTTGATGAACTGTTAGATGCTGGGCTCCATCATCCACAGCACTGAGTCTGCATTCTTGTTCAACCAGAGATGGGAACGTGCCACTTTCACTATTGGAACCTTCGTCATTCTTATCTGAAATGAAATGGTTTATTTAAAAAAAATGTGACTGCAAAGCAAATAATTTAATTTTAAATTTAACGACGCTTAGGCCAGGAAGTGATAAAATAGTTAATTAGTAAATTAGTAAAGAATTAACAACCATTATTTTCAAAATGTATTAAAAACCAAAAAAAAGTAAGAAGAGAATCTTATTTATGATTTTGAATTTTCATATTAAATTAATAAAGTTGATTATTGTTATCATAATCCTATTTACAAGTATAATGGTATTAGTTATTTTCATATGAAAGATAGTGAAGCAGCCAAAAAAAAAAACTACCAGACTTCATGAAAGTAGACTCCAGAAAAGCAAACAAAAAAAAAGAATACCCCAGAAACAAAAATTTTGACAACTGTCGACTATTATAAAATTACCATAATAATGTGCGTTAAAATAATCCAAACTAAAAGTGCAACCAAAATGTTTAGTAAAGCCGAATCATATGCCCATGGGAAGTCGTTACTGACTTATAAACTCCCAACTGGAGTCAACGGTCCAAGTCTGGTCATTCTTGCCTGTAGGTGGCTTGTTGGTCACCCTTGGTGGCTGCACTGGTTTCACTTTGGGTTTGCTTCGTAGAGGCACTAAGTTGTCGACCGACGAAGACGTATTCGGAGAAGATGCTATAAAAACAAAAGCATCGTTTAAAAAACCACACCCAATTACATTTCATAATCAACGAGGTAAAAAGATTTCAAAACTTACGTGATAGCTCTTCTATGCTATGCATATCTCTCAGAGGATAGTATGGATGATTATTATTTGGAGGCTCCGAATACCGTTGAGAGAGATTCATTCCAACACGAATAAGCTTCCGCCGTGTGACTTGAGGCAGCCCAGCCTAAAAGCGAAATATAACATTTATTTTCTGTCTTCACTATAAAATTGTAAAATGAAAAATACTAGATGGGATATTACATACTTCTTTGATTGCGTCTACAGGATCTGCATAAAAAGGACTGCCAGTATTATCTTTTTCAGAGTCATTTTCTATTGAATCCTTGATGCTGTCTTCCAATTTTATGGTTTCCATACTTTCAATATTATAGTTATCTCTATTTTTAAATGAAGCTTCGATCTCTTCGGTGAGTTTTTTGTTCATGTTCATGACAATATTTAGTTTGTCCGGTCTTTTAGGTATGATATCACCTTTACTATTAGTGGTTGCAATTAGATCATTTGAACTGTTAAAGCTTTTCTTTAATGATCCATCAGACAGATTTTTCTTTTCATTTAAACTTTCCGTAGAATTGAGTATATGAATATTTTCTTTCTCTAAAATTGACTGAGTGCTCTTTGCGTTATTCATTTTCGCTGCAATAATGAATATGATAGTATAAGTGTAATATTACAATTTTATATAATGACGAGTGGACCCGATGGACGTTACTATCCAATGAAAATACCCTAGAACACGACTGTAGCACCTCCCATCGGAACCAGTTATGAATTCTAATCGTTAAGAGACTTGAACTCGAATTCACATATGTAATTGAAATCAGTCCCACCATTTTACAGTAGTTCAATTAAATACACACACATATTTATGGAATATTCATAAAAAGGGAGAAAATCAAGAAAAACATAACTTACGTAACGTATCAGGCAAGAGATCCGGTTTTTTGCTTTTCATAAGCCCATTATTTATATTGTTGTCGTTATTATCCGATTTCAAAGGTTTAAATGTTGAGCAATTGTTACTTTCTGGTCCCCAAATATCTTCATAATCAGAAACTTTGTCCATCAAAGAACTTCTGTAATATACACCTGGAGATTCTAAAATATCCGATTCCTGAGGATAAGAATTGCATTTTAGAGCTAAGAAGTTATATACCAACGAATTATTAATTATTATCATTTAATCAATCATATTTTTACTAATGTAATTTTCACACAGTCATAATGTCGTGCTGTTAGTGATGATCGAATATAATAACTATATTGTTTCTCAACTAATAGGTATACTACATTGATAAACATTGTCCCGTCCTACCTGATAATGTCTCGACTCTTTTCTTTGGGAGTGTCGACTTCTTCTTGATCTACCAGATGGTGTGGTACTTGTTGTATTTGAATTTGGTGATAGTACTTTATCCCTATTGTTAATCATTGGAGATACTATGGATTGATTTGAAGTGGGAGAAAATACACTTTTTCCAGAAATTGGAGAACTTCTAGAGACTGGTGAGAAGATTTCACTTTTATTTGTTTGACTTATTGGTGAAAATATGCCACTTTTCGTTGAAATAGTATCATTAGATACTGGTGAATTGATCTGACTCGTCGGAGAAAATATACCACTAGTTATAGAATTTGTTCCATTTGGAGAAACGACTTGATTTGGCGCGAAGCCGTTACTTGAAGATTTAGTCATACTATTCGCAATAGGATCAACGCAATCAGAAGTATTAGTCTGGGACTGCTCAAGTGGCGATCCTGGTTCGGTAGTATTATGGTCAGCTATTTGTTTTTTGAAGCTCCCGTGCAAACTAGCTGTCATTGCACTGATGCACTCCCCCTCTGGTGACATTCGGTGCATCATATTCTACACAGGAACAGGAATAAGCTTCGGTCAGTACACATTTTTGTTTGACACTAAACATATAAGTAATAGATGCATAGATGTTAGATACAAATAAATGCATATATACTGTTAGCATGCGAAGAGCACCCGTGCATTATAATATTCCCTAAACCTCACCTGTGGTTCTCCATCAGGGTCAGCGAAAGGTTTTGTATCCAAAATGTTGAATACTGCATCAGAGGAACTGTTATTGTTGATTGCATTAGACGCAAGCGTTAATTGCAGCCGGTCGCTTTGTATGCTCTCATTGATTTGGTGGTTATGAATTTGAGTGTTATTAACACAAAAAGTGACAGTTGTTGTGACTGTTATGTTTCCATTCTGTGAAGCTTTATTAATTGGACTAAAAGCGAGAGCTTCGGATTTTGGGGACAAGGCAGGTTTGGAGAATGGAGGTTTCGCCCATCGCGGAGGCGGCGGTGGAGGCGTAATTTTTGCGTTGTTGGAAGTGGGTGAATGTTGTGTATTGGCAGATGGAAATGTATGGGGTTGGGTTATATGAGCCTGAAAACGTGAGCTTCTATTAATATTTAATTTAAACAACACCAAAAAGCTGTAACATTAAATTATATTGTTAAAAGATACTTACGGTACTAGACATTAGATTTAAAGTGTTTGGTGGGGTCGGCCTTGGTGCTCTTACGAATGCACTATTAGGCTTCGCTGGTGGTGACGGTGGCGTTCTTCCTTTGAAAGTACTAACATTCTGGTTTTGATTCGGTGGGGAGCCAGGTGGTTCAATCGGTGACATTTTTAAAACTACGTTTTTATCTTTTTCGGAACTTACGGTTTGCTCTCTAGAAATCGTTCCCGTACCTAAAAGAAAATCAAATTATTTTGCTACCGAGATGCGATTGCATTAACATAATAATTCTCTCTGAATCCGTACTTACTTGCGTTAAAGCTGCTTAGACTAGATCCTGTATCAGATGGAGTAACGGCCATTGGCACTATTCCATTTGCCAGTTGACAGGGTGACAGAAGGTTGATTGGATTATTCTTTGGATTCGCCATAGGGTATCCCCAAAACTCTTGACCGAGAAGCGTCAGGGAACTAAGCTGATGTCGACTCTTTGCTTCGCGGAGTGCACGCGGTAACTGAAGTTGCACTGGAAGTTCATCACTGGAAATGAAATAGAAAACTTTATTAGTAAAATATGAATAAAACCACATTAATGACAAGTTACATGTCGCTTGTGGTGGGCCCCCGTTTCTGCACTTACATTCTCGATTTGGTCCATTGTACTTGCAGGGTTGTAGGAATAATGACTAGTATGTTAGGTAGTTATCTTGCCTATTCCAATTTCTTCAATAAATCTAAGACGAACTGTATTTGCTTATTTGTTATTTCCTAAATCCAAACAGTAATAATCTCAAATCATTTATGCAGTCGAAGCTAAGCTAAGCTAAGAACCCTGCTGTTACGCTGTCGTCTGTTCCTAGTCTCTGGGTCGTAAACGGAATGACATATTGAAATTTTGGTATTTTATGTGAAATGCTTGCCCAAAGCCGCATATTTAGTTAAAATTTCAATAAAATTATTTTTTATTAAAAGGGTTCCTTAAAACAAATAAATTATTTTTCCTTTCGCGGTTTGTTGTAAGGAATACTTCATGCGGGAGGTCGACTCGAACTTGGCTTTCTTCTTATGTACAATACAATACAATACAAAACGCTTTATTGTACACCACAGAAAACATAACATTACATTACAGTTAAAACCAGTTAAAACTAGTATATCAATGGGCGGCCTTATCGCTAAGAGCGATCTCTTCCAGGCAACCTTTGGATCGAGACGACTAGAAGGAAGTTGGAGAGAAGGCGGCGTAAATCACTTGAGTGATATAGGTAATAATATATACATACATATTAATAAAAAATAATTTATTCCGTCTTATGTAATGATCCTTTCAAATGCCTTAAATTACATAGTGCACTCTTTTAGCTTACCAACACTGACAGTAATGAGCAATCAGCTCGGGTATGTTGTCGAAGCGGTTGTGCGAAGTCTCGAGGCCAATTCGCCCTCCCGAAGCTTGGATCAGGTAGTGCTCGATGTAGGGCCCCTTGTCGGCCGGCAGTCGGACACTAATCGCCATCGTGTCCGGCTGACTTGACTGGCGAACTACGAAGTTCTGGAAAATTAAATAAATAAATGTTAGACAATTGTCACGTACCAATTTTTAGTAAGGTAGCTGATGGCAAAAATAAAAGAGGAGTGAAGAAGGATTTTTGCAGGTGGGCAAACTGAGGATGATTGGTGTGGCAGTTTATAACTGCTGCATCAGCTATCTCCGCGTTTGGGCTTTACCACCACTAAGCATCTTGTGGGGAAGAGTCATATGCTCAACCAGCTATAAACTTAAAAAATAACATTCCCCTAACATTTTAAATTTATGTCGCATTTATAGTTGAATGATGAAACACACACACGACGCGATAGAGGAAGGATTTAGAAGTCGAAGAAATGCAAGAATCACATATCTCGATCAAATTTATTGTATCCTGAAGGTAGGTGACAAGTCACAAAAATAGGTGAACGTGTATGAAAAGAGGAAAGGAAGCGAAAGGAAGATCGTGGCTTATGGCGCTCTATATTCTCTTTACCTCCCACCACCCGGGACAAAGCGTTGAAATAAAGAAATAAAATTAACCTTCTCAGGATCGTAATGACATATTTAAATTCTTACCGCTTGTATAACAATAAAAGAGTTATTATATTTTAATATATATGTAGTATCCTATAACACAAGTCTTATAGCGTTTACTTTGGGGCTAGGCCTTTTTTATGGTAAAGGGTTGCTAACAAGCACATGGCCCGCTTGATGGTAGGCGTTCATAGCCTATAGATTCTTGTGATATCAAAGTATCACTCGCGGAGTTGCTAATCCTGACCCAATCCACATCATCATCATCATCAGCCTATTAATGTCCCCACTGCTGGGGCACGGGCCTTCCCTATGGATGGAACAGGGAGAGACCCACCACGCGGGCCCAGTGCGGATTGGCGGGTGCTAACGACTGCAGATGCAGCTGGGACCAACGGTTTAACGTGCCTTCCAAAGCACGGCGGATCTCGAGATAGAAGATTTTTGGTCACCCATCCAATGACCGACCACTGCGAAAGTTGCTTAACCACCCGCGCTATCGAGCTCCTCGATGGGCGCTCCAATCCAAATGGAAAATTCGCTATTCCATATCTCTCCTAAAGTGTGTGAGACTCTTAATGTGAGTAAAAGCTTAGTATGATGTAGGTAATATTTATTCATTACAATACTTACTCCCTCCTCTTTCCCCTGTAATAGATGGAATGCGCCTGCCCTCTGTATCCCAGGTAAGAACCACACAGGATGGGTCCGTATAAGCCTCTCCAAAAGGCCGATGTCACACGGAGGTTGCTCCTCAGATCCTGATGAGTCTACGGAGGAACAATCCCCTCTAGCTCCTTCGCCGTCTGAAGATAAGCTCTCGCGACTCTGGAAAAGAAGAAAACATCTTATTGATTGCAATACAGTTATTTTTACTACCAATCTAGTTTTTTTTATAGAAAGGTCCGACAAATGACTCCACCCCACCTGATGTTAAGTGAAGGTAAAGTCCAGACGCGAAGATAGCTGAAACAGCAGTTCTACCTGCCACACTATCCATGCTCACCCTGCGGGCCTGAATGTTGCTTCTTCACGGCTCTTTTAAAAGTTTTATTGAAAAGAGTGGCAAACCAGTATATGGCCCGCCCAGGGACCTATTTACCTTAGGGTCAGGAAGGCTGGCTGCAAGAGTTCAGATTTTCAAAATACGCCTCCTAGCCCGCCTGATGGTAAGCGGCTACTATAGCCTATAGACGCCTGTGATACCAAAGCTATCACTTCGCTTTAGATTAAAACAAAAAGGGTAGATACGGTACGCTCATACTTGCATCAAACAAAAACTGATCCCACGGCAGCGCGAACGAGACGACGAGATCCGCGTCACTGCATTACCGACCCGAGCGAAACAGCACGTTAAGTTTCAACGGCAGCGCGAACGAGACAGCGAGATCCGCGTCACTGCACTACCGACCAATCACGCGACCAGTACTCGACGTCACTACCGAATAAGATTCAAAACAAACAGCATTTTTTATGAAATTTTTTATTTTATAGTACTTACGAATGAAAAGTGACGCCGTGGGTTTTATTGGAACGAAGTTCCTTATTTTTAGTTCTTGAGCAAATTAAGGACTTTTTAAAAACATACTTAGGCATTGTTTTATCATATAAACACAAAATATTATCAATATTTCTTTTTGGTGTTCACATGTACGTCGTTTGCATGTCAAGTTATGACTAAAGCGATTAGGGTCGTGGACCACAATTTGTGCGGATCACTTTTGTGAGGCTAGTGCCGTATCTGCCCTTTTTGTTTTAATCTAAGCACTTCGCACGCTTAAAGGAATACTGACATTAGTACTTAGTTCAACGTTGAATAACGTACAATATTGAGGTGTTTGCACATTTTTTTGTTTACTAGTTTAATTTTAAAGAAGTAGTTAATGACAGTGATTTTGATGAAGCTATGTGAATAGAATAATATAGATGGCTTAAGGACAACGTTTTGTCTGTATGTCTTTAGTACTAATAGGTGAGTATTCCTTCAAGCGTGCGACTTGGTGCCTACCCATGACCCGACCCTCTACCCTGTATATAGTCTTGGAACCTTTCCCACCGACAGAAATCCAACACCACCAAAAGATAATGTCATTTGGCCATCGTCTTCGGTATGGTTACCTCATCAGATGGGCGCTTAATTTCGACCGCGAAATCCGAATAGTCCTACCTCTCTTGAGGTATCATCATCATCATCATCAGCCTATTAATGTCCCCACTGCTGGGGCGCAGGTCTTCCCTACGGATGGAATAGGGAGAATGGGCCATGACCCACCACGCGGGCCCAGTGCGGATTGGCGGGTGCTAACGACTGCAGGTGCAGCCGGGACCAACGGCTTAACGTGCCTTCCGAAGCACGGAGGAACTCGAGATAGAAGATTTTTGGTCACCCATCCAATGACCGACCACTGCGAAAGTTGCTTAACTACAACGATTGCAGCCAAAGGCGCTAACCACCTGCGCCATCGAGCTCCTCATTCATACTTTGTATACCTCAGTGAGGTATACAAAGTATGAATTACTTTGGTACTTCTATATTTGTAATACTAACACGACAGTACATACACTTCAAAGTCAGTACGGTACTTAGGTAATTACATTTAAATTGGTATCGCCAATGTCACATGATCATACTGGTGAACATAAAATGTGGTCACTTACTAACCTCTTGTTAAAGTATACTTCCTTGTTATGATCGAATAGTTGCCAAAAAAATGTTGGAAGCTTCAAAAATTTAGAAACGAACAATACACGCCATTATCATGATCAGCCCATTAATTTACCGGGTACGGGCCTTCCTAGTATAAAGAAAAGAGATTGGGTGGAATTGGAATAACGACTGCAGATGCATCCGGGACCAACGGCCTAATGTGCCTTCAGAAGAACGGAGGAGCTCGAGATAAGTTTTTAGGCACCCATCCAATGACCAGCCATTGCGAAAGTTGCTTGACTTCCACGATCGGCGACCGAACGCGCTAAGTCGATCAAAATGCTCCAGATACAAAGTAACATCGATGATTTACCCGAAACAAACAGAGTTAAATAGTACGAATTTTATTGCCTCATAAAAAGGTCGCCATGCCATAAACAGTAATTACATCCATACCCACAACGGTAACAGAGTGAATGTTCCCCATATTAGTGTGCTCTTGTGGAGCTTAATAAGTAAATATTAGTCAGTTTCTGTTGTACTATAAAATTAGAGGTGTCAAAAGCGTTATATCGATAAAAATAGATAAATCAGGGTTTTTAATATAGAATTGGCAAAGATGACTGTTTCCAGTGGTCCACTCAGGGAGATATTTAAAATTGTCGCAATCGCATTTTTTATGACAGCATCAAAAGAAACAACATCGTCACGGAACATCCAAACTGAGGCTGTCCGAAGGATGAGGAAGAGAAGGCAAATTTTCCTTCCCACTTCACATCCCACGCACTTAACATGGCTTCGAATTTTCTATTTGTAATTTTGACAACGCGTTGTCCCATAGACTGCCGTCAAGTTTACTAATGGCAAAAACGAATAGCCATGAGCAGGGCAAAAGCTTGGTCAAAATCCGCTTCTCATTTCTGTTGTACAAAACTTACAAGTACAATGAAATATTTGCAATGTCCGTTTAAGTATTATTTTTCTGATAACGTGATAAAATATGGACGCTCTTTTTTTATCTTTTCAGAACAAAATATGTTGAAAAATAACGAGAGTAAAAAAATTAATAAATTTCACACAATTTTCGAGTTAAATGGTTTATTAATAAATGTCGATAAAATGAGTTAGGTATCTATGTAAATTCACATCACTATACCTGCAACGGGCTTAGCAGCTTAAAGAGAAAAACAGCGTATATTAAAATAATATTCACAGGGAGATTTGCAGCAGGGAAATGTGTATAAATTATGTACCCAAGTCTATCTGTAAACCGAAGAATTTGTAGCATTTAGGATATAACTAGCTTTATCTCAAACTCAGTTCAATATACCATTGCAATAATGTAATTAAAATAATTTTACAAATTTGTGCGGGAAATGAATATTTATTTAAATATCATAAATCAAGCGGGTTAGATGCACTGATATTATTTATTTATTGACGTTTTCGTCATTATTCGGACGACGCAGTCCCGAAAAGGCTGATCCCATTCAAACCTGTTTTATTTAATGAGTGATTTACGTGAAAACCTAAGAAACAAATATAAATCAAGCGATTAGTTTAATAAGTTTAAAGAGTTTGCGATACCAGAATATCTAACTAGCGCTTTGAATACCCTAACCCTACTTTTACCACATCACTATTTACCACAGTCACAAACAATCATATTAGTAAATCGAAATCCGAACCATTTAGGCTCTAATTTTAAGGCCCAATCAGAATTTTAGTATTAAAAACAACCTACCTATTACCCAATACAGACATTGGAAATTGCAACATTTCTGAAAGAAAAGAAGAAGTCCAGAAAGTCCCAATATTTCAAGCCACTTTACACTTCAAACGCTATTAAAGTCTTTGTTCAAAAACTTGGAAATGTTATTACACATACCGCGGAAGGTTCAAAGGCAGAGCAATTTTGCATTATTACTATTCGTTCTTTAGTTTCGTTGTTTATATGTATAAGTTATTTGGGATTCCTTTTCGCGAAATGGTCGGGCAGGGAAGGGTAAGTTTTGCGCAGTGTATGTCTTAAAAAGAAGATTTTATGAATGCCCGCGGTAGTTTCATTGTCGGGGTTCTTTGGATACAATTTGGTCTTATCCATCTATATCTTTCAAACTTTTATTAATAAGTACCGTTTTCATTTGTACAGTTCAATTTTATTTATGAAAGTAAAGAAGTTAAAAATAGGTAGGCAATTATTTTATTACCTACCCAAAAGGAAAAAAACTCTTTTTATGTTACCGATATAAACTATTATTATATAATTATATTCTTTACCCGCGCACGTGTTCCCTCCTTCCGATAATCTGGGGTATTTTAAGAGAGGCGTGAAGAAGCATTTTTGCAGGCCGGCAAGGTGACGATGGTTGGTGTAGCAGTTTATAACCAGTGTTGTTTTGTATTAGACTTAATTATTATGATATATATCTTTTTTTGGGTTTTGGTTTCTATAGTTTTAGTTTATAGTTCCCTACTGAGACCCAAAATTATTTAAAATTGTCTTTGGGTGGGGGCGCTGACAGCTGTGCCACAGTTTCTACTATTACAGCTGTCAACGATTACCTCTTAATATTAGAAAATCAATGCATCCACTGATTGTTTCGAGGGAACACTTGTAATTTGGAGTGAAAATAAAAAAAACTTTATTAATGGCGCTACTTTGCAGCTTAAGAATGGCTAGAAGAATTTCGACGCGGCCGTTTGGGCTGCGGTAACATAATTGGTCAGTGCGTTCGCCCGGATTGCGAAGGGTGCGGTTTCGAGTCCCGTCTGCTGCCTGGTCCGCGTGGATTTTTTTCTAGTTATATTTTCTTTAGATTTAAACATCAAATAGTTACATGCTTAAAGTATATATTTAAATATATATAACTTTATTATTATTATTAATTTACAGACTGAAATGAAAAAAAACGGACAACGCATTCTATTACGTAGAAATATAATGTTTGGAAGTTCAGAAATGCCAGGAAGCATTTCATTAAGTATTCATTTCTCGTCGCAATTGGTAGATTATTTTTTATCAATCATACAGTTTTATAATTAAAACGCTTACGTTATCCTCCGCAATATGTCCACCGTAATTAAAAGTGCAATATAAATAAAGACAAAGTGTTCCCATCGCGCTCTGTTAATATTCACGGCCGGGGCGCCAGCGTGAATTAATTAAGACAAAATCCCG